ACAGTAGCCTCGCAGCCAGGGGCCATAGAGGACAACTTCGAATTTCTCATACGTCTCGCGAATAGGTAGCCTCGTCCGGAGGGTCTCGTTTTGTGTAGCCAACCTGAAACATCTGCCTGGTCGCCCATCATACCAGCAGCTGCTTAACCTCAGTCTTTCTGCAGACCGGCCTAAATATTTTTTAATTTATTTATTTTTAATTTTATTTTTAAATTAATTAAAATCACAAATTAAAACTCTTTCACAATTAAATTAACGCAAATAAAAAATAAAAATAATTAAAAATTGGTTTAATTTATATTTTCGGCCGATCGTGCATGGTAGAGTTGAGCCCATCTCAATTATAAATGAGCGCTATATAAATGAAATGATAAATACGGAATGAAATATGAATTGGATAGGGGTTACCTCACCAGATATACATTCCCACCAGATATAATCCCGCCAGATATAAATCTCAGCAGATATACAGGAATTTATTTTATTTTTATAAACGCATATTCGCACGAAATATAAATCCCACCAGATATACAGTAATTAATATTTTAAAATTATTCGTCTCACCAGATATAATTCCCACTAAATATAATTCCCACTAAGTATATTTCTCACCAGGCATAACAATAAAAGCAAATCATATGCAATGCAGGTAAACATGTAGGCAGAACTGCAGTTTTTTATGTATGGAACGGGCATCTGAAGTGCTCTACTCTGCAAAGTCAACTCTGTTTAGATTGAACTCACTTGCAGGGTACGGGTACACTCTCTTTAGCCTGTACTCAAGAGAACAGTTCCACAAGCTGGTTCTCAGCTGCATTTGTTTTCAAGGGAACAACGTTAAGTGTTTACTGACCTGAGCACACTTGTTGGCGGCTACTGATCTGAACATTCTCTCCTTGGAGTGTACTCTCGGAGCACTCTCGCTGGAGTGTACTTGTGAGTACACTGTCGACACTGGTAAAACTGGAGCGTAGTTGTATGCTTCATTCAAGCATACAACTACGCTTGAAGACTTTGCGCTTCAAGTCAAGCGTGGAGAAGAAATTCGCCCATGCATTTAGATAGGCGGGTGAGGGGTGAAATGGAGAACTACGCTTGAAGCCGGGCGCAGTTCTACTACGCTTGAAGAAAGGTGTAAAAGTACGCTTGAGTTCTACCAGTGGAGTTTACAGAGTAGTTGCGTGGCGTTGAAAAGGCAGGGACAGCTGCATTTATATTTATTTTTAAAAAATAAATGCTGTATATCTGGTGGGATTTATATTTCGTGCGAATATGCGTTTAGGCAAATAAAATAAATTGCTGTATATCTGGTGAGATTTATATCTGATGAGATTTATATGTGGTGGGATTATATTTGGTGAGATTATATCTGGTGGGAATGTATATCTGCTGATACCATCTCATTGGATAATATAAATGAGATGAATTAAATAAATAATAAATCAAATGGGGAATAGAGGCAAAGGAAAAACCTAGAGAATTTAAGGGATTAAATATGAATAACTATCCGCATAATAAAAGAGGGGAATATGGAAACACGGAAATTTAGGAAAAGTCAACACTATTAGGGAGTGGCTCACTGTATCCCCGCACGCCTGAACCAAATCAATCTTTATCAATTTTCCCATTAAACACAAATTAATCATCAAAATTACAAAATTATTTGAAATTATTACAAAATATTGCTAATTAATGAAAATTAATCAGTATTAATACAAGTAAATATTTATTTTAAATTTCAAACGTTTGGAGTAAGGCGATGCTTTGAGTGGACAACTTCCAGGTGGGTGAATTGACATTGCAAGAGTGGCGGTAGAAATCTGTTGGGTCAGGCTATGATTTGTCACGAGTAGCGTAAAATCAGCTGCGTAAGAGAAAGAACTTGTCACGCGAGTGCAAGATCTGCCACGTTAGAGTAGGATCTGTCACGAGTAGCGCAGGGTCTGCCGCGTTAGTGTCAGATCTGTAACGAGAAACGTAAGATCAGCCGCGTAAGACTAAGAACTTGTCACGTGAAGTGAGATCTGCTACCTTAGAGCGTGATCTGTCACGAGCAGCAAAGGATCTGCTGCTTTAGAGTTAGATCTGTAACGAGTAGCGTAAGATCTGCCGCGTTGGAGAATGATCTGTTACGAGTAGCGTGAGATGTGCCACGTTAGAGTAAGATCTATCGCGTTAGAGTATGATCTGTCGCGAGTACGGTAAGATCTGTGGCAAGTCCGTTAGGTTTTGTTAGGATAGGTTGGACCTTCTAGTTTCAGGTGTATATGCCTCCCGCCCGACGGCTGGGTTCCAATTCAAATATCAGGCACAACCAGATTCAGCCTCGAGTCACGCTGTCAGTTCACCCGCCTGGGAGCAGTCCACCACAAGCCTCACCTTACTGCAAACATTTGAGATAAAACAATAATTTAATCGAAAAAATACTGATTAATTTCAATTAATTAGCAATATTGTGTAATAATTTCAGATAATTTTGTTATTTTGATGATTATTTTATGTTTTATGAGTAAATTGATAAATAATGATTTGGTTCAGGCGTGCGGGGATACAGTAAAGCCATCCCCACTATTAGAAATATATGATCATTGATAAAAATCTTACTGCCGAAATATTTTATTTAGCATTATTTAAAAATGCAAATCTCAGAAAAAAAATAGAAAAACAAA